GATTCAAGGTGTGACCTCACCAGTGCTCGGTCCAGGGGCAGAATCACTTCCCTGGTCCTGCTGACCACACTATTCCTGATCCAGGTCAGGATGCCATTGGCCTTCTTGGCCGAGCACACTGCTGGCTCCTGTTCAGCTTCCTGTCTCTCCAAACTCCCTGGTCCCTTTCTGCCTGGCTGCTCTCCAGCCACTCTGTCCCCAGCCTGTAGTGCTGCATGGGATTGGTATGGCCAAAGTGCAGGACCAGCACTTGGCCTTGTTAAACCTCATCCCATTGGAATCAGCCCATCTCTATAGTCTATCCAGGTCCTTATCCAGGTTATTATGGTTTGTACAAATTCTTTGGTATGTAAAACAAGAAGATAACATCACTTGAAATTTTCTAGATATTGCATATAGTAGATGATTCAGGACTTTCAAGATGCTTCTGGAGTGAATAGGAAGGTGAACACTGGGTATATAGCTAATCTTGCTTTCCCAAACAAAGGAGCAGTTCAGTGTTAGTCAGCTGTAGAACCACTCTGTGTAATCTTGAAGTGTGGTTACCTCTTGAGCACTCAGACCTTCTGGTTTTAAAAACAAGGGAAAAATAATGCTTGGGAGGGGATTTATCCTTTGAATCTTGCTTCTGAAAATCACTGGGTTCCCAGAACTGCTGTTGAAGATACCATTCATACATATTACCTCAGTGTGAAATGCTAATTGCTCCCTGAACAATTTAACCCTGGAATTAAGAGCAGAAGGAGAATGGAGTGGCTGATGGTTGATTTTCAACTGCTATCCCAGTGACTTTGAATCTTAACTACTTTAAATTAGAATTTGAGGAGATGGCAGTTAGCTGTTACAAGGAGCTGAAGCTCAGCTAGCTGGGAGGAAAGAGAGGGAACTGCCAGAAAGAAGCTGAAGAAGTTGCACATTAGCTAGACACAATGAGATTCCTTTTACTAGCCTGAAAGGAGAAACCAGTTCTGTGAATGGAGCAATCTGAGATCTGGGGTAGGAGGCAAAGCTCAGGTGGTGCAGAGATAGTTCTTTCCAAAGCCTTGTTGCAGCAAGTGAGAGTTATCTAATACGAAGTTCTTTTCAAAGACACTAAGGAACTGATAGTAGTGTGGAGTAATGCTTGATTTGCATTGAAGTTGTCATTTCTCAAAGTCTGTTTATGTTGTGTGTATGTGCACCCAGAGCTTATCTTCAGAAGGGCCTGTGGAAGGGCATACTGATGCTGTGCTGGATCTTTCGTGGAATAAACAAAGCAGGTAAAGGAATACTTGAATGACAATGGATGTGACAAATTTGCATTCTTAATTAGGCATGCCATTTCCACACAATATCCAAACGCTCGAAAGCACTGCTGAAATTAATCCATTCTTAAAAACGGAGTCATAGAATTTTAGGGTTTGGAATGGAATTTACAGATCATCCAGCCCCAACCCCCTGCCCTGGGCAGGGACACCTCCCACCAGAGCAAGTTGCTCAAGGCTTCATCCAACCTGGCTTTGAACACTGCCAGGGTTGGGGCAGCCATAGCCTCCCTGGGCAACCTGTGCCAGTGTCTCACCACCCTCACAGGGAAAACTTCTTCCTAATATCTAACCTAAATTTCCCTCTTTCAATTTGTACCCATTGCTCCTTGTCCTGTCACTGCAGCTCCTAACACAGAGTCCCTCTGCAACTTCCCTGGAGTCCCTTCTAACTAACTAGAACACTTGATTTTTAATTTTTTTTGCAGGTTGCCCAGGTGAAGGCAGGCAAAAGTGGGACTGAGTCATTTGATAAATTGATAAACATTTCACCTGTACAAACTGGAGAAGCAGAAGAGCTGCCCTGAGCTCTGCTGATCTCCCAGTGATTCTAAAACACCATTTCAACAGACACAAAGAGATTTGTAGAAGAAAGTCCTTGTTATTCTGCTTTTTTTTCCCCTCTGGCTTTTTCCCAAGAACTGTGAACAGAAAAGAAAGTGTAAAAGCCCTAAGTGCAGTTATAGAAATGCTTCTGGCCTTTGGGTTATTCTAGACAGAGAGAATTCCCTCTTGCCTGAAGGGACTAGCACTGAAGTGCTGCTGTTGACACGACACAAAGCTGGCCTATCTTGGGGCAGAGGTCAAGGGCAATGTGCTGAGTGAAGTAAAGATGCTGCTGGGTTTTTATTGCTTAGGTGGTTGTTAGCAGTTCATCTGTCAGAGGACCCTCAGCATGGGGCTTGAAACTGCTCCACTCAGACACAGCCTCATTTTTTTTCCTTTAAATGTTTCTTTTACTGCTGTCATAAATGCATCTGCCTCTCAAAATAGACTCCATTCACTCTAATGAGCAGGTGTGAGCTTTCACTTGCAATGCTTTCTTAACTAGATACTGAAGAAGAAAATAACCAGAAGGACATCAGTAAATGTACGTAAATTTTACTCTTAATTTACAGTGTGCTGTCTGCTGTTCTTAACTTATATACTTATGCACAGAGGGGGGTGATGATCAGTCCATCACTCCTACAAAAGAGTAGCTTTCATTTACCTAGAAAAGGTGATAATACAGAGACAAGTAAACATGTTCTGGTGGGAAGTGTCCCTGCCCAGGGCAGGGGGTTGGGATTAGAGGATCTCTAAGGTCTATTCCAACCCCTTAACACACTATGATGAAGAAATTATGGCTACAATAGTGAAGTGTTTGAAATGCCTAATTCTGTGATGTGCTTGGTTAGGATTTCATAGACACTGGTAGATCTCTCAGGAAATAAAACCAGCATTGAAGTGGGAAGCTTATGGACAAAACAAGGAACTCCTCGGAGCAGCTTATATTTCAAATCTTTTAATATTGCTTCTTTCCTGTAAGCAAGGCATGTTGTGACAGCTCTCTACATATCACTCTCTGCCTGCAGGTCATGATGGTGTTACTGTAAAATGTTCTTAGAGCCTTCAGGAGGTGTTTTCTTAACCTTCCATTGACAAAGTGCTTGGGAAAACAGTGTTTGCAGGAGAATGTTAACTCTTTCAGTCAGAAACACTTGGTTAATATAAATAGAGACAGGTGAGGGGGGAGCAGTTACAATCAGCAACAACATGTTGAGGTAATAGACCTGATTTAAAGGCCAATGAAGCAGTGGTAGGAATTGTACTGTGTATTTGACACAGGCCTTTGGGAATCAGAATTTTAGGGGTTGGAATGAAACTGATAGATCATCTAGTCCCCCAACCCCCTGCCCTGGGCAGGGACACCTCCCACCACACCAGGTTGCTCCAGGCTTCATCCAGCCTGGCTTTGAACACTGCCAGGGCTGGGGCAGCCACAGCCTCCCTGGGCAACCTCTGCCAGTGTCTCACCACTATCACAGGGAAAACTTCTGCATAATATCTAACCTAACTTTGCTCTCTTCAATTTGTCCCCATTGCTCCTTGTCCTGTCACTGCAGCTCCTAACACAGAGTCCCTCTCCAGCTCCCTTGGTGCCCTTTCAGATCCTGGAAGGTATGCTATACCTTCTCTTCTCCAGGCTGAAGAGTCCCAACTTCCTCAGCCTGTCTTCATAGGGGAGATGCTCCAGTCCTCTTAGCAACTTTGTAGACTCCTCTAATTGCTTTGATGTTTTTTCTGATTATACTTTTATGCTGTGTTTACTGCTCTTAACACTATTGATGAAATTAAACTTGTGAAGTTGGGTCTGTAAACTGACTGAAAAGTTCATGGTTCCTTCCTGCAGTCTATGAAGGGTGTACAGTGTTGGGTCTTTGGTAGTTATATAAACAGTCAGATATTAGACAGCAAACCATTTTATAAACAGGTTTTTTTTGGCTCTTGGCTGTGTACACTGGCATCAGGAGTGACCTCATGGCTCTCTCCAACTCCCTGACAGGGCTTGGAGAGAGGTAAGGGATGTCTGTCCTGCCATGGCTGCAGGGAGAGGACCAGAGGGAATAGCCTTGAGCTGAGACAGGGCTGAGTCAGATTGGATGTGAGGAGAAATGTTTTCCCTGTTCAGTGTTCAGGCACTGGAATATTGCCCAGGGAGGTGGTGGAGTCACCAACCCTGGAAGTGTTTAAGAGGTGTCTGGATCTGACACGAGAGGATATGGTTTAGGGGTTCCAGCAGTGACAGGTGAATGGCTGGACTGATCTTAGAGGTCTCCTCCAACCTTGATGGTTCTATGATTTTGTGAAGTAGAACTAGGTTGCACAGATAATGTTTAAAAATACTATTTAATGTCAAAGGAAAGCAAGTGCTTCAAAGCCTTTCTTGCTTTATTTTATTTGAAAAATCATTGAGCACATGATATTTCAAGTGATACTGGGGGAGATAAAAGCAGCACTGTCAGTGGTGTTGTTATAAGTGTTCTGCTAATGTAATGTAGTTTATTTTGTAGTCTTTACTTGTGACTTGGATTTGCCTTCAGAGTTGCCCCTCAGAGATAACCTGAGAGACATAGTCTATACAGCAGAGTGTACTTGTTCTACTTGTTCTCAGAATTTGGCTCTGCATGTGTCATGGATTTTGACCTTTATTTGTTTGTATCTGTATAAAGACTTTTAAAACATATTTTTTGATCCATTATCAGGAATGTTTTAGCAAGTGCATCTGCTGACAACACTGTGATTTTGTGGGATATGTCTGTGGGTAAGCCAGCAGCCAGCCTGACCCTGCATACAGACAAGGTGTGTCCTAATTACTGTGCTGCTTCCACTGCAAAACACAGAGCAAAAATAACCACAGTTTTTCATTAACCCCTTAGAACAACAATTCTGTAATTTTCTAACACCTGTTTACCTTGCTGAATTAGTTGCTACAGTCTGTTTGCTTTTCAAAATGTTATTGAACTTACCCTTTAGAAAGTTAACAGATATTTACAGCAGTTTTTAAAATGAAAGCTCTGATGGTTGGGACTCTAACTGTGCTGATACAAGCTACAAAAATAGATGTGTGAGCATAGGTCAAGCGACAACTCTCTCTTAAGGGAACAGTGAGTGTCAGTTACAGTTTGTTCTAGGTTAAAAAGGTTTGAAATAAATGATACTAAAATACCATAGTGATGGGTATTTTAGGAATGAATTAATCTCACAATAATTAAAATGGGAAAGCTAGTTATTAATAGCTATAACCTTGTTTTGTTCTTAACAAAGTCACTGCCCTTGACAAACCCCAGGTTTTCATTTTTTGTTAACATCTGCATTTTTCCCCAAACTGGAGCAGATGTTATTTTACCTCCTCCAGCTTTTGGTTTTTAATATCTAGGGCAGAAAGGGGCATGGGGGTCTCTTCAGCTGAATTGCAGTGGTAGATACCTTGTTTCCACTGGGTGGGAGCGTTTGAGGTGTGTTTTGAGCAATCTTGAGTATCAGCAAGCTTAATAGGAGAGTTTTTTGGGGGGGAAATGTGTTGTCTTGGGGGAGGTTGTGCTTTGTTCCAAGAAAGTTCTTGTATATGTGTGTTATGTCTCAATACTTCCTTATAAAAATAAAATCTTTCATTATCTAGGTGCAGACATTGAAATTTCATCCATTTGAAACTCAGACCCTCATCTCTGGATCTTACGATAAGTATGTCAGGGTAATGTTCTCAGATGTTGCATGTTGGGAGGGTACTGCAATTCAGTTAAGCCTGTTAAGTTGCCTTTTCTTCTTCATTTTTTTATACCTGGGCCAGTCTGAGTAATGCTGTTACTTTTTTTTCCAGCAACATAGCCAGGTTTGGATGTGGACAGAATGTAGTTTTCCTTACCTCTTTTCCAGAGGTTGCCAAATGCCTTGATCATCTGGACTGGAACTTTCTGTCTGCTCTAAACTGAATTCCTTCATTTGCATTTCCTGCACTGGGAATGTGTCACTGTTCCTGTGAAGACTTGCCCAGGTTTTGCCAACCTGTAAGGCTAGGGTGGAGGCATGAGGGACTTCAAAATCCCAGTCCACTCCCAGAGCCTCTCTAGGCATGCCAGAGTAATGGGCTGTGTCCTGTGACTGCAGCCTGGAGATGCTGGGAAGTAGTTTGTGTCTGCACACTTGGGCTAAGCTCTGTAACCACCAGTTCTCATAAGTCCTGCCAGCCTAAACCTTCCCCTCTGTTCTCTCATCTCAGTGGGGCAACCTTTTAATTTTGTTCTGTAACAATGATTTTCTTATGTTGATTCTGCTTTTAAGACTTTGTCCTTGTATTAAAATATTTATAGGCTTGTCAATCTTTAGCCAAGCCTTCGTGTTTTCTGGCTTCTATTGTGCTCTTGCTGCATCTGCTTAAGTGAAAGAATTGGACAAAAACCTTTTGTTGTTTTTAGGAAGCTGCTTCTGTCTATTTTTTCCCCCTTGACTTCCTTTGATACAAGGAAGAAAAAGGTGCAAACACTGAGACCAGCTACTCTATCCCTTTTTGGCTAACCCTTTGATACCATGGACACCTATAAACTAGTCATCTGCCTTTGTGGATTTTTCCTGTAAAGCCTTGCAGGACCACAGGCTATTCAGTGTTTATTGGCAGATGCCTCCATAGCCTGAAAGTCAAAAACTGTTGTGTCAAATGCCTGGTAAAAGAGCTGAGAAATCTACCTCACATTTCTTTAGGTTTGGACAGAGTGGGAGTGGGTTACACTGTGGATGTTGATTGGGGTGGGATGTTGCTAGAGTGACATGATCGCTCCTCCCTTGCATTTGCACCCAGGAGCTTCTTGAGTTAGGACAGCCACTGAGCTGAGCACATGCCTGGAGATCCATGAACTCCTATGTGTTCTTTCTCCTTTTTGGAGTAGTGTTTCTCTAACCACTTGTAAAGATTGAGTTTTTCAAATCTACTTTGATTAAAGCATGTTTGAAAATGTATGCATATGTATCACCAATTGATTTCCTAATTAGTGCATCATTACTTGACTACAGTCTCCTATGTGGTAAGTATCTCATGTGTTGAGTAGATTCAAGCTTGGTTTGCTTAGTTTCAATAGAATGGCTGTTTATAGCCAAGATGAAACTTGGAAGCATATGGAAAAAGCTTGTGCTTCTCTGAGAGACTTTCATCTCTTATTGAGTTGGAAGACTGAATACTGAATTTGTTCCCTTTATAATTAGAGTTTACCTGGACCTTCTATAGATGCTGGTGGTAAAAGAAACTGTATGTCATAATTTCCTGTCCCTTTCTCCCCTAGGTCAGCTGTGCTATATGACTGCAGAAACCCACAAGAGAACCATCGAGTGTGGCGGTTCAGTGGTCAGGTCGAGAGAGTAACTTGGAATCATTTTTCACCTTGTCATTTCTTAGTGAGTACATGCTCTTCTCTTCTTCCTGGGCTGTTCACTCTTGCCATGTCATTTCACCTGAAGTTTTGTGTTCATAGTGTTCCTGAATCCTAGTGGAGCTGATGGACAGTTGGATGGTTTGTGCTGCTTTTTATAAAAATGCAGTTAGGGGAGGATGTTTTTAAGTAGTTTTTTCAACAAGTATTTGGACCAGCTAGTTACTTGAGATCTTCATTGTGACAGTAGGAAAAGCTATTGATGCTGGTGCTTTTTCACTCCAGAGATGGCATCTTTGTCATGTTGTTACAGTGTTCAGTGGCTGGGATGTATTTTCCTTTGCATAGTTGCTGTTGTGTTCCCTGTGATAAGGCAATTGCAGTTGAGATGGGGCTAATTAGAACTCAGATCTTGAACATTAAGTGTTTCAAGTCAGTGCTGGAGGGTACCCATCCTCCCAGCTGGTGTGGAGTGATCCACTCGATCAGGTCGGAACAGATCTCTGTGATTTGAGTCCAACCATTGACTCAGCACTGCCATGTCCACCACTAAACTATGTCCATAAGCACCACATCTACCTGTCTTCTAAATACCTTCAGACTTGGTGACTCCACCACTTCCCTGGACAGCCTGTGCCAGTGCTTGACAACCCTTTCAGTGTAGACACTTTTCGTAATACCTAAACCTCTCCTGGTGCAACCTTGGCCATTTTCTGTTGTGCTATTTCTTCTTGCCTGGGAGAAGAGACAACAAGCATCTGTAGAGTAAAAATACCTTGGTTTTGTTGAGATTTTTATAATAAAACAGAATTTAAAGCCAGATCTTTTTTCTCAGTGGCTGCCTAGTCCTCTGTCACTGTGTATATACAGCCAACAGAAGTGGTAGCTCAGTTCTGTTGGGTTTATGATGTAGATCTCTCTTGGTATAATCACACTCAGCTTTGCTCAGGACTATTATGTAGCCTCTGGATTGCTCCAAAAACTTTTGAACTGACAGTGAAGAGACTACAGGCTCTGTATTTCATTGCCTAACATGAGAGCCAAGCTTACCAGGGCTTTTTGCTCTCTTCAAAACACACTTTTAGAAATTTGTGTAGGATTAAGACTTCCATGTAAGTCAGTGCAGCATAGTTTAGGTACATAGAATAGCTCAGGCACCAGCTGGATGAAGTGGGAGTGTGACTTTTGGGGTGCAGGCCTGGGTACAGTGTAACATGAGTAGTGTCTGCTTCACATCATTGGATTTACTAGAGGGTGGGTTCATAGAAGGGTTTTTCCTAATGAATTACTATGGCTGTTTGTTTTTTGGTGGTGGCTTCCTTAGGCAAGCACAGAGGATGGCTTTGTGTACTGCCTGGATGCTCGTTCGAATAAGCCTCTGTTCACTCTGAAAGCTCATGATGAAGAGGTGTCAGGTAAATTGCCTCTGTGTCCTGTTTGTCCCCAGTGGCACATCTGGAAGATGTGTTTAACCTCTAAGGGTGATGTGGTGGTGACTCCTTGTTTAATAAGTAAACCATGCACACAAATCATAGTAGGTGGCACGTGAAGCAAATCTCTGCTGAGAAGCCATTGTAAGTGAAGTATTTTAACAACAGTTTGCTCAGTGAATGTCATGAATGACCATGTCAAACAGACTGACTCACTTGGGACATGCTCACAGAATCCCAGGATCAGTTAGGTTGGAAGGAACCACACTGGGTCACCTGGTCCAACCTTCCTGCTTCAGCAGGGCCATCCCAGAGTACATGGCTGAGGGAGAATCCATGTCCTCTCTGGGCAATCTGTTCGGTGCTCAGTGACTGCACAGGAAAGAAGTTCTTCCTCATATTCAAGTGAAACTTCCTGTACATCAATTTTTGCTGAGGCAATAAATAAATAAATAAATAAAACAAGTTACCTGTTGTTTTATTGGTTTCCCTCACTGAGCAGTCTGATCCACCTTGGCACTTCCTGTTCATGTACTTGAATGCATTAATGGGGTCCTTAGTTATCTCTTCTTGAGACAGAACAACCCCAACTCCCTCAGTCTTTCCTCATCACTGAGGTGCTCCAGTCGCTTTGTTGTCCTCCCCTGGACTTGCTCCAGGAGCTCCATGTCCCTCTTGTCCTCAGGAGCCCAGAATTGGATTCCTTGTACTTTTTTTTGGATGAGGAAGTGCAAAAACAATAATCAGATTTGGAATCTGATTATGAACTATAACATTTACCTCCTCTCTAATTATTTCATACTGACATTTGCTCTGAGGATGATTTAGGTCTGGCACGTGGGAAGGTTCACACTGCTGCTTTAGGCTGCTGTATTTGATCAGTGTAGGAGCTTGAAGGAAGCTACCTGGGGAAGCCAGACTGTGAAGTAAGCCGAACAAGAGCATCTTTGCACTGTTACTGATCTTGGATTGAGAGACAAAATAGGCCTACATGATTCACTTTGCTCTGGCTACAGGGAACAGTGGCAGCATGGAACTTCCATTAACTTTTTGCTCCATTGTGCTGGAATGAAGTTTAGTGTGAGGAGAATACTGGGTGGTTCTAATGCCTTCAGTTCAAAATATATCCGCATCTCTGTGAAACAGTGATTACCTGGTGCTCTCACACTGCTGCACTCTTAATCTTCCAGGGCTACAACTAAGCAGTCAGATCAAAGGGTGCCTGGTGACATCATCTGCTGACAAATACGTGAAAATCTGGGATATCCTGGGAGACAGACCAAGTTTAGTCCATTCCAGGGATATGAAAATGGTAAATAATATTTATTTCTTGATTCTAAGAAGTTTTATGTATAAACCATGTCTGTTTATTCTTTTTTTTGGCTAGTTTGAATCTTTGAGCACATTACAAGAAAGAAACTTGTTTTACTTAACACCTTTTAGGGAAAAAAGTAATCACATCTGTATATTCTGGGTAAATGATTCTGATTAAAGTGCAGTATTCCACATGGAATTGGCAGAATGCTTCAAAGCCTCAGACCAGAATTCCAGATCACAGAATCATGAAGGTTGGAGGACCTCTAAGATCACTGAGTCCAACCATTCACCTGTCACTGCTGGAACCCCTAAACCATATCCTCCAGTGTCAGATCCAGACACCTCTTAAACACCTCCAGGGATGGTGACTCCACCACCTCCCTGGGCAATATTCCAATGCCTGAACACCCTCACATGGGAAAGATTTCTCCTAACATCTAATCTGACTCTCCCCTATCTCAGCTTGTGACCATTCCCTCTAGATACAATGGTTCTGAGTAGAACTTCAGGTACTTCATTGTGCATCTGCCACATTCAAGATTTATTGTTTATAATCAGCAGCTCTGGACTTTCATTTTGTGTCTTTGCAAGAAGTTTCAGGAAACTTAGATTCCATTTGTTAAAACTTGCGTGGTGAAAGTATTTTCAGGTGACAAATTCATTTTATGATGGTGTTTTAAATCAAATCTTCTTCTTTCCTCCTCCCTCCCTCTCTCCCAGGGAGTTCTCTTCTGTGCAGCTTGCTGCCCTGACTTCCCCCTTGTCTTTGCCTTTGGAGGAGAGCGGGATGGGCTGCGTGTTTGGGATCTAAGCAAGATTTCTGCAGGTAATGTTCTCATTGCCTTGAATCTTGTGGTTCTCTCCTTGCCCTCAGGGTGTATTTGTATTCGGTGATGTATTGTGGCTCTGAGAGAGACTGCAGGTTAGTATTTTTCCATCCCCCATGACTGTGTATGTGTTCACATTTTCAGCTTCAAAAAATATGGGGTTTTTTTCCTCTAAATGGGAGACCTGTTTGACATGATTTGTTTTCTTGTAGCTGAAGTGTAACATCTGATTTCTTATGATCCCCATGTTTTACTTTTTTCTTAATGTTCCTGGTGTAATCAGGTACCACATTCTGGGCATACTTGTCAGAATAAAAGCGAGGACTGGTTTTATCAGTTGTAGCTACGTGTAACAAAAGGGCATTAATTTTTGGAGAAGGCTTTTAAAAGTCTTGGTGGAAAGCAGAGGGACTAAAACCCAAAATAAATAATGTAAACTTCATGTTATGCTCGACAAAACTCATCCATTTCACAGTACTTAGGTACAGGAATTATGCAGAGGGAAACCTGTAGATGCTCTGAGGGAGAAATAACAGGACTTGTAGTTAAAGGATCAGGTGATTGTTCTGGCATGTAAACTGCAACTCCCTGCTGGGGGTAAGGGGAAGAGCTTTGAGGTTAGGTTTTCCATCCCATTCCATGCTATACCTGCTGTACTTCTGTCTCTGGGAGAGTAACATGTAAGCAATCTCCTGTCTGTGTTGCAGTGAATGAAGTTTTTGGTAACAGAGAGAGACTCGTTCTGGCTAGTGCCAGCTCTGTGGGTCACAGCTCCACAGCCAGCAGGAGCAGCAACAATTTGGAGACAGCAATGGAATCATGATGGACCAGACATCAAAACATCAGAGTGATTAATGTGACTATGACTAATGTGTTCTACAAATCCCCTTCTTTGGTGAGAGTTCCTGGGAATTACTCCATTGTCTTGCAATCATAGAATCATCAAGGTTGAAGGAGACCTCTAAGATCAAGTCCAACAACTAACCTGTCACTGCTGTAAACCCTAAAGCGTATCCTCCAGCATCAGATCCAGATGCCTCTTAAACACTTCCAGGGGTGGTGACTCCACCACCTCCCTGGGCAATCTATTCCAGAGCCTGTACACAACAGGGAAAACATTTTTCTAGCATCTAATCTGACTCTCCCCTGTCTCAGCTTATGACTGTTCCTCTCATCCTCTCCCTGCAGCCATGGCAGGAGAGACCAGAGATCTGCAGGCTTCACCTCAGACAAAGAAACATGGTGATGTGGTTAATCTCCAAGTTCCTGCCTCTATTACTGGCTTTGAAAGATTAAATCACTTGCTTTTGCTGGAGATTCTGATCCCTGAAACAGGGACTACTGTGTGCAAAGCTGATAGTCACTAGAAAAGCATTCTATGGCTACCAGAAGTTTGTTGAATACTGCAAAGAAGGTTTTGATCTTTCTAAAGGCATAAGGAAAGATACTCCACACAACAGCTGTGTAATAAATAAACAAAGGCTGAATTGAATGACAAGTGTAAATAGATAATTTATCCTTAATTTGCAGCTAGGTTTACAGGTTTCTAATACAGATTTAATTTAAAAGATCTTCCATGTAAGTTTTTAACTCCTAAGAGTGGTTCTCAGGTATTAAGTTGGACCTCCCAAGTAGAATCCTGAAACGTATTTCTAACATTCAGATCACCAATATCAAACCAGAAATACCCCAGCTCTATCCTATCAAGACTGAGGATTTCTTTTCCTGGTTCCACAGCACCTGAAGCTTATTCATGTTGCACATGGTATTGGGTTCTCTTCAAGCTCCAAATGTAATATATTTTAAGAGAATTTGAACTGAATTAAGGAACTGCTACTCAGAAAAGAATGAGAGGCTGTCAGGACACAAAGCAAGAGTCACTGTCAGTGGTGAAAGCTGAGTTACACACTTATGTTATTAACTCCTCTCAGGCATTTCTGCCTGAAAACTGAAGGCTCAGAGAAACATTTTGAGGATCAGCCTTAACCTCCAACTTAGCTGCTGTGTTTCCAGCACCTGGAAATTATCAAGGAACGTGGCTCAAACAATTTCCTTGCATTTAAAAGGGAGCACCCAAGTGCCTTACCCCAGGCTGGAAGTTAAATGATACTCTTACCCTCTTCTGAAGTGCTTCCCTTTCCACTCTCTGGAAGGAGTCTGTTAGAGTGCTCCTGCTGTAAAAATGCCTTGGGTGATAAAGCCACTGCTATCAAAGCAGCCATAGTCACACCATGTACCTGACAAGCTCTTTCCACCCTAACTAAATAATTCTTGAGAGGTAAAACAGGTAAATTACATCTCTGCAAAGTGTGGCTGTGGAAAAGGCAGGGCTATAGCTTTCCTTCCCATCCCTCAAGGTTAAAGAGCTGCCTCTGTGACCACTTCAGCTGTTTCTAGCCTGGTGACAGCTGTTCAGCATGGTTCTGCAGGAAGCAAGAACATTCTGGATGCGTTGGGATTGCCGCCTCCAGCCTGTCTCTGCCAAGCAGTAGTGAATGATGTGTGGACAACAAATGAACAACTGCTTTTGTGAAGCTTAAGAAGGTGAAAGCACCAGAACCACCTCTGTTCAAGTGCTCTCCACTGAAAAGCTGCAAGATTTTCAAAGCTTTAATTTGAAATAAATGCTTTGTGTTAAGCTCTTGGAGGGTAGTGATTTGTCTTTATCTCGAGTATTAACTGGCACTGTAGAAGTTGCTTTTTGTTCTAGGAAGAAATTGTACTGCAAGCAACACATCTTTCTCTTAACAAGATCCCACCCCCTGTCTCTCTGGAGCTTTCTAGTCACATACTGACCTGAGGGCAAGCACTTTCAGGTCTGAAGAACCCAGGGAGCTCTCTAGGAAATAGAGTGTAGAGGGAGAGATACAGCTGAGCTTGGGCCATTTTAGGCAAGAAGCAGTGTCTCTCTCAGAAGGGAATCTCAGTTACCTTGTCAGAAAACAGAGCTTGGCTGACTCTTCTTTTGTAGCACAGCCAGATGAGTGACACAGCAAATCTACAAAGGTTTAAAGACCAGTTCTTCAGCTGCAGCTGTTGATGAAGGTGCTCCTACACCTACCTTGTCCCAGGAAAGCTTGGGAGAGGCAGATGGTTAAAAAGTGGTATTACTTCTCTTAGCATCATCATCAGAAATAGGAAGTTGGTGGTTTTTTCCAAGAATGTGGAAATATTAAAACACATTAGAGAAGAGCCGCATTTTTAATTCTTTCAGAAGAAAACAATTCATCCCATAAATCATTTTAGCAGCAAACCCATCATTCCAAGTGGCAAAATGTTTACAGCACAAGTAACATGCACTGTAAACACTGCCTGATCATCTGTAGCCTCTTCCTTACTTGAGTCTATACAGTTTTTATGTCTTCACCTGCTTACAGGTTCTAGTGAACTCGAGTGAGAGGATGCAATAACTGTTCTCCAAAAGCCAGTGTCTGATTTTCTGTAGTGGGGTAACTGATTTGTTTGCAGTGCTGATTTCACTGGCTATTTTTTTTTAAAACCAAAGGGTTTTGTTTTGCTTTTAAGGAAACCTGAGCATTGATAAGTCTTTGCTTTGTGCCAAACCACATTGTGCAATTAAAAAGTTTTAAAAAGCAAAATACATCAATGGCCACCACCATTTTTGTTTGTTTCTCATCCTGCCATGGCTTGGGCAGTTAAGGATAGTTGGCTTACAGGTCACTGTGCAATCACAACTACAGTTCTGGTTTGTGGCTCTTTGCTTGATGGGCTATGCAAGATGTGTCATGTGTTCTAGCACCGGATGGATTAATCTGAGGGATTTGGAAAAGAAGTATGCACAGCACATGTGAAAACATCTCCTTGCCTCACATTTCCTTCTTAGCAACTCTTCAGTTGTATGTGCATGATCCAGTTTCATTCAGTGTTTTGGCTACAGAGTTTATTAAGTGGTGGTAATGCGGACACCAAAACAGAGGGAAAACTCCTCACCTGACATACACTACTGACTGGGGAAACAAGGAAGAGGGTTTTTTTCCTTCCCTAGTTATAACCTCCAAGAAAATTTCCCTCTCTTCTTCATTTGTGTCCAGAGAGGGCATCACCTGTTGAATAGACTCCATTGTTAATCCTACAGTCTTCAGTCCCCACAGAGTCTATTAATTCCTCCTCTGAATCCTCCTCCTCTTCCTCTTCTAGGGCTGACAGGCTGGATGTGGGGCCTTTACATATTTTTAAGTGGCGAGTGAGGTGATATTTGGTTAGATAAGCCTTGGAGCATTTTTCACAGACATAGTCCCTCTTTCCTTCATGTGAATTGAGATGCTTCTTCAGGTGATTTGTCCTCAGAAACAGCTTGTCACACTTGGGGCACTTGATCTGCCGTTCTCTGCAAAACATGGAAAGGTGACAATCTGCTCCTGCCACAAGGCAGCTGATACAGTGTTAAAATGCTGCTTAAGGTCCATGTTTTGTCATGGGGAGAGATGCTGCCCTTGTGGAAAGGTCAGTCTCCATCCTTCCCATCCTGCATAACTGGGGGGTGCAGGGAGAACAAATAAGTAAACAAAGCTGCTGAGTGTTAACACCCCTCAGTCTGTAAATGCTAAGTAGAGGAGCTTACCAGACTGTAACAAACTCTCTAGATGAAAGTGCAAAATGCCTCCCAGCAGTAGTGCACCTGGCTCAGGCTGTAGAAACAAGCAGTGAAGCAAGTCTCTTACTCACGCTTGCTGCACTGGGCAGCATGTCATGTCATGTTTCCTAGGCAGCATGACAGAAGCAGCAAGGGCTTCCAAGTGAGTACAAAAAAACAAATAAGCAAAGGGACTAACTTTGGACAAGCAGCTTTTAAGGGACGACCTGGTGTTCGGGAGTAAATACACAGGATGGAGATTCTCAGAGCAAAAAGACCTGACCCGGCAGAGAGCTGCAGGTAGGGATCTGCCTGCAGGAGGAGCAGGAGACCAAGCACAAGTGAGATCTGCTGGGCGAGAAGGGCTGGGAATGGCTGCACCCCACCCCTAGTGCAAACAGAGAGGAAGAATTCGCTAACATCTTGTTCACTAACAAGGCGAGAATAGCAGTGAGGAATTTATGGTCTTTCTGTGGTCATATTGGGTTGTGGAAACAGTTCTCAGTAAAGAACAAAATGTAAATCAGCTTTGAACAATGAAAAAAACCCCTCTCTTTCCAAAATGCTGAACACTCTGCACTGCCCTTTCACAAGACAAGGAGCACACTTGGAATTTAGTGTCATTAAAATACTGCAAGTACTAAAACTGGACAACAGCCAGTAAAACAAGGACTTTGTCCAGACTGACTTCTCTGTCATTTTAGAGGATGAACCTATCTATACTCTCTAAGCCAAACTATTTGCAAACTGGAGATTCTCTCTTGGGCTGTTCAGCTTTATTTATTGCATTGGCCAGGCCCACCCATGCTGTGAGTGTGAGAGGACTTACTGTGTGTGAGTGAGGACGTGCTGCTTGAGGTCCTGCCTCCGCATGAACAGCTTCTCGCAGTAGTCACACTTCAAATTCTTCTCCCCGGTGTGGATGATCATGTGTGACTCCAGGTGAGCCTTCTGGGTGAACGACTTGTCGCAGAGGGTACAGCGGTAATTCTTCTGGCCTAGGGTTACATACATGCACCCACAAATTGACAGTCACTGTCCCAAGAAATACAGTGAGAAAATAAGCCTGATCACTCCTGAAAAACACCCTGAAGAAAGACGGATTCTTTGTGAACAGGACCTGTTTCACAGAATCACAGAATAATCAGAGTTGGAAGGGACCCTTGAGGAACATCTAGTCCAACTCTTGGCCCTGCACAGGACATCCCTGAGAATCATACCCTGTGCCT